GGGTGAAGCCATCCAGTCACAGCGGGAGCCGTCTCAGACCTAATTATGCTCGGTTTGGCGTTTTAACTGTATTGATCAAAAAGGCTGAAACAAACGAGAAATGCTTATCAGGCTGGAAGAGGAGAACCCTGAGGAGTGTGTGTGTGTGTGTGTGTGTGTGTGTGTGTCAGCTCCACAGGAGTGAGTAAGAATGATGACAAAGGTCTGAGATATTGGTGGTTATAAAAAACTGCAATTCTGAGGTTTGGAGTTATTAATTACAGGCGCCCCTCCTTCACCCCTTTTTACCAGCGATTAGAAATACTGCCCCTCACTCACACACACACACACACACACACTCACACACACACCCTCGTATTTCTACACATTTATGCTCTCACATTCAGGCCTTGGGGCATATACGATCTCTCTCTTTCGCTCTCTCTCTCTCTCTCACTCTCACACAAATTAGCTCGTCCATACCAGCACTAAGTGCACAATGCCCTGCTCTGATGAGCAAGCTCTCTGTGACCTTGGAACTCTCTGGAAAGACAATGCAAGGGGAGCCACGCTGAGAAAGAGTGGAGGAAGGGAGGTGGAGGAAGAAGATAAAGGGGAGGGAGGGGAGGGAAGGAAAGAGGGCGACAATGGATGGAAGGGAGAGGGAGAGGGAGAGAGAGGGAGAGAGAGAGAGAGAGTGCTGCTCAGTATAGGGCAGCAGGGCACTGCTCCCTCCCTTCTCCACCTCAGCTCATCTCGAATGCAAATGTGGTTCCTATACGGTTCCTTTGTGCTGCTTCTAACTGCTCCGGAGAGAAGCAATTACAACTGCTCCATTCACTCAGGGAGAGAAAGACACGCATGGATAGAGAAGGGTAATTAATAAAGAGATAGGAGTGATGAGGAAGGAGGAGGAGGAGGAGGGAGGAAGAGGAGGTGATCACATACCTGTGGAGGAGCTTCAACAAGAACGGGAGTGGGATATTGATCTCAAAGGCAGCTCTGCTATTGACGAGCACGGCCATCGACACGAGGCTGACTTACTGAAGGAGTATTCTATGAAAGGTCAAAGGTCAATGGTGGCCATCATCATTATATAGAGCTGTGTTTCTTTCTACCTTTTTCTTCTTCCGCGTCTTTCACCGAGCCTCCGTGACCATTACACCTCCTGTCCTCCCCCACGGTGTCCATCACTTTGCTAACTTTGCTTTTTTCTAGCAACAACACTGCAAACACAGAAGACTGGCTCCTGCTGTCCTCATGCGAACCCATCTGTCACTCTGACTGCACACAACATGAAGCGTTGCCTTCTATTTGTTTTATTTACTTTTCAAACATGCAAAGCCACCAGGACTCGATTAACAAAAGGGAAATTACAATTAGCAATTCAATTTAAACTGGAGTTTAAAAACTTAAACTGTTTGCAGAAAACATTTATTCCGTGTCAGATTTTGAATACTGCCCACTCTCTTGTGATTCTATTTTTACGACAAAGTTACTGCTACTAAAAGTTAAACCGCTAAAATGTACAAAACAAAGGGAAGCGTCGATGAGCTAACAGCTGAAATCACAGAGGAAAAGTTGGAAAGTGATCAAGTCAAGGGCAATTTACCACAGTGTTCTGCTTCGATTTACTACAAGCTTACATAGACTATGTGGCTCCACCTTCAGTCGGAGGTGTTACATACACCCAAAACAATGCAGAGCCATAAAAAAACATAAAAACCAACTTATCAAATTCTAGTGTTTGTGATTCATGTGCTAAAGATTTTCACTAAAGATGCCTTTGTACATACAGTATGTTAAATTATGTAAAAAAATACCTAGTTTGCTGATTACTTCTTTACACCTTCAGTGTTCACGTCTCCCCCTGCAGACTGTTACTGGTCCACAGTCATATCCTGTTGCAGCTAGCTTGGCCCACTAGCACGTTTCAGAATGCCGGGAGTTTTTATGGCAGTCATTTGGGCCGCTAATATGTCATCTCCATTAGCTAACTTTTAACACTCACAGATAGATGGCCCTGTGACATTTATCTACGCACGGGTCATATTTTAGCTGCTAAATGGCTGGTGATGTGCAGGGAGCATGTAAAATGAGTGTGTGTGCGTGTGTGAGCGTGTGTTTTAGTCGTGCAGAGGTGGGGGGGTGAGTACGGCAGAGTGAGACGCATCGACTTTTAATGATGCACCGTGCGCGGGGCAATTTAGAAAAAACTATCAAAAAATACAATTCGCGCCATGACCTTTGACCCCGGTGTTGGCTCGTTCAACAAAAACATAGAGGCAGAGAAGAATGGGAGTGGGCTTTGAGGTCAAGACCCAGGCCTTCTTCAGCTGAGGTACAGTGAGGCAGGCCTGCAGTGTCAGCAAAGAGAAAAGACTGAACGACCAAAGTGTGTGTCTGATAATTAAAGCAGCGGCCTGTAGAGGGAGAGGAAGGAGAAAATTAAAAGAGAATAAAACAGGAAGAGTGATGGAAAGTAAACACATGGTCTGGGGGAGAGTTACACGGGCTAATTGCTCATATGGATTTTGCCATTGTTTCTTGTAGGGTGAAGGAGGTGAAGTCATTCGGCAGTGGCTCGGGGTGAAACTCTGAACGAGCCAATCATTTACACTCATAAACTAATGCTAATATTGATGGCCACCACATATACGGAGGAGCATTAGAAGGAGCCCCCCGCCATAAAACAGCTGTAAATATGATATAACAGCTCGTCATTTAACTCCTCACACACACACACACACACAGTGAGTCAACCTTTCCACCTCACGCATAACACACACACACACACACACACACCATCCGCTAACGCCACAATATGCGCCGCGTCACTTTACGCGACGCCTTCCAGAGCTCGGTCACCTGGCCAGAGGCAAAGGAGTTGACTAATGTGACAGAAAATTAACAATTAAAAATATCACAGGGGCCCAGAGCCGCGGCACCAGAGGCCGTTCACAACTGAGTGGACACTCTAATTGCTTTGAAATACAATTGGGTTTGGGCTTTGTTTGGTGTTTTGGAAGTATGAAGCGCATCAGTGCACACTGGAAATTGAGTTATAAATTACTGAGCTGAAATAGACATGTAGTGCGAAGACTCAATATCCAAATGTGAGGTCGTCTGCCATACAAATGTGTGTGTGTGCGTGTGTGTGTGTGTACCTGCGCTCAATCGCATACACAGAAAAGGAAGAAGAAAAAGAGGGGTTTTTACAGCTTGCAGATGCATTACATATTGCCTGAAATTGACCCACACTGCTGGTGTGTGTGTGTGTGTGTGTGTATGAGTTATTATTATACACTGAATGCTGGTCATGGGGAACCATGATAAGGTCAACCCTCTACAGCAAACAGAGATAAAGAGCTCCAACCACGAGACAGTGGTATTGAGAAAATGACAGACAGTAACGAACAAGAATTCTCCAAGTTCTTAAGTACAAAACTGAAACTGATTTTGTACAGTTTTACTCTATTTAGGAAGCTGAAATTATTATTATTATTATTATTATTATTATTTACAATACACTATACTACACTCTTGCCCCCACTGCAACAATTGTGTACTATTTTACCCTTAAGGTAATTGGGGTAAAGTCCGTTTTGGTGTCTTTTGATCACTTTTTTTCCATATGCAAGTATCTACGTATCATGTTTGCGATGCGATTTAACGACAGCTTCATTATGACCGACTCGTCCAGGGGAGAGAAGACACATTTCATAGAGCAGGGTTAGCTTTAGCGGTGGGCCAGCCCACACCAGGCCTCTGGTTTGGGTGGTGGTGCGTGTGGGTGGGGGTTACGTGGGTGGTGTGTGGGTTGAGGGGCAGCTGCTGTCTACTTTAATGAGTCTTTGTTTCTTTCCTCAGCTTTCAATTTACAGGGGCTGTCCACCCCACCCCACCCCCAGGCTGTGAACCTGCCTGATTTCTGTAACACACTCACGCACACTCAGACTTTGATAGTATCCTGAGCGGCCGGTAAAAGTTAAATTAATTTGCTGTCCTACTTTAATTAGAACGTTTCACCTGGGAACGCAGTGGCAGGGCTGAGATGTGACCAACGTTGCACCTCAACCAGTCAATATTAAATGATGCCAACGGTCGGAGAGAAGCTACGGTTCACTGACAAACTGTCAACGGTCATTCAAGGGTCACAGAGTAGAGGAGCAACTTCAGGTCACAAAGTCACCTTTTGAAGGTGAGGATGTGATTTTATATTGCCAGTTTTTTTATATATATATATATATATATATATATATCATTTGCCACATAGCAAATTTGTTTTATTTTTTTAGCATTAATGAAGTGTCCGAAAACTTTTTTTCACATACATACATGTGCAAGTGTAAAAAATACACACCTGAGCATATATATACATATAAAAATATACACACACATCATAATCCATTTTAAATGCAATTTAAACATTTTACTAAGTTAATAATCAATTTCCTCTTACATCTCCAAGTTTCCCTGTACTTTTATTTCTTCCCTGTATTTCAATACTTTGACAACACTGTTGTATCTACTGTATGGTCTGTACAACTGCCTTCAGGCAAGAGTTAAATGACCAATACCCATTTCCATATCAAGTGTCCCCTTTGCCTTTGAAATCAACTGCTCCAAAAAAAAAAAAAGAAAATACACATTATCATGAACTATGAACATACAAATGGACAATTTGTCCATTTGGGGGGTGGGGAGGGGTTGACTAAACAAGGCCGCACATGACTGATTAGAACACCACTATTAGAATGCAAAAACAGTACGATTGTATATTAAGGTCAATAAAGCGATGGTTTTCAGTTTGTGTAATTGAGGCCACAGCTACAGCTAACGTGCAGCATCACATCACTTTAATAAAACCTGAACCATGTACGTCTCTGTCAGCCCGCTCTAACGGGGCTTTCAGGAGCTTTCACGCATCCTGTGATGCCTTTACTCCCCCTATTGGTCTGCAAAACAAAGTGCAGGGATGTCTTTGAAAATTCAACAGTTACAGAGCAGGAAAATCCGAGTTTTCTTCAAAAAGTTTATTCATTCAATAGCATTTCATAAAATATACATAAAAACTGCCTGCAATTCAAACATCCCTTGCTAGCCACAGTGCTAATAAAAATATAGATAGGAATTTTTAAGACATCACCATTACAACCAATGATTGCTATACATTTTTAAAACTTTTTTTCTTTTACCAACTGAACAATTTTAAATACACAAGTACATTCACATGACCATGGTGTGACTTTAAGAGACCAAATTAATAAAACAAAAGCTTCAGGGGAAATGTGTCTTCTTGGAAGTCAACCAATAGAAGAAAGAAACAATAGGCTCCACAGAAGGGGACAGAAAAGGTAAATACATGCATGATCAGCACAATGTCAATAATTAAAGTACAACTGCAGAGTCGCAGGGCTCAGGTAGTGCAGCGAGGAAGGAAACGACTGAACAGCTCTGTGTTCGTCAGGCGTCAAAGCGAGGGAGAGGGTACACTGGTGTCTACACTTAGTCCCAGACCTGATGATGAAGAACTGCAGAGAGACAACAGGTTAGTTCCCTGTTGCTGGTTAAGGTCAAAGGTTAGATATAGAGCGCCTACCTTTCACAGTCTGAGTCACAGGAACCTTTGTCCTCAAATCTGTGGTGATAATCCAAGTTAGACCTCTGTATGGCTTCAGCCACCGTGTACCGCGTCTTACCACGAGCACACTTCTCTATCTTTGTGATGTTGAGGTCAGACTGGAGGAACAGGTGGAGACGACTGTCTGACAGTAACAACGGTGTCTGGAGGACGCTGGAAAAGAACGGAGACAAGGCCCAACAAAAGAGTTAATACAGGGCTACACTGTGAGTGTGGCCCTTACATCTGTAGTGTAAGGTGTAGACATCAAATCACCTGATGCACCAATTTATGGCTTCAGCTTGAAAGCAACTCACATTTCTAAAAACTCTTGCAGACCGTCCATCCTCTGTGAGACTTGTCCAACATTTCTCAAACTGAAAAAAGGATTCCAGGATGGCAACTTTGGCAACTCTCTGGTGGAAACAACAACAAAACAGAAAGAAATGACTATGACTTCAGAGGAATGCTCTCATGTCTTCTCACTAAATGTACAGACTTTCCTGGAAGACCAGGAAGAAGACTGATCAGCCCCCTCCAGGCTTCTCACACTAGTCTATCTGTCTGTATGTAAAACGTGACCTGGTATGGGTTAGTGCCTAATACAAGGCCCGAGGGCTGGATGCAGCCCGTTCAGCTTTTGAATCCGACCCACCAAACTTTTCCAAATTATATAATTTATTTATATTATCATTATACTTCTGCCTTTTCCGTGCAATACCCACGTTTCCCCAATAGAGGCATAGAAAATGATAAAAGCATTTTGGCCTATACTGTAGGACACATGATGTTTTGTCGGTCACGTTTCTGATCCCAAAGTAAATCACAGCGTATCACCCTGATAAAACTGCCTCAGCTGACAACACCTTCTGAAGTGATCATCACATTATACTGATGTATGAACTGAAGGTTTACATGATCAGGGCGTTCTGTCCCAGGCAGTGGCGCAGCCACACAAATTCACTGTACCGCCGCCTTACGCAGGAAGTCTTCTTTCTGAAGCACATGCTATTGGTCTGCAAAGGGATGAACAATATGTGAGCGTCAAAAAAACTAAAACACAAACAATTGATTCTCAGCTAAAAAGCAATAAAAACATACGTGTAAACAGATTTCATAGTCCACGTATGTGTGCCAGATGTCCTCTTTATGGAGCATGGGATCCTGAACGCAAATGCTGATAAACTCCTGCAAGATTTGTAACAAAGTCATGAGGACAACATTTTCACGTGGCCGTCAGTAAAGGAGGAGCAGAAAGAGTCGTGTTTGGACACTTACGTTTTTTGTGTGATTTTCACATATGCTGTCCATACTGGATATAGAACACACCTGTAACATAGAAACAGAAACAACTGTAGTCATCAAATGGTATGTTAGGCCTCGAGTGTCACTGCACAGATGATACAGTGCTAATGTTCCAGAGTACAGTATGAAACTACTAGATCATACAATCAAGGACAAAAGGGTTTTTTTTTTCTTTAATGAATCATTACAACTGTTCTTGACTGAAATAAATTAGTTCTTAAAGAAAGTAATAATGGCGTGAAGATGACCTCTTAACAGGGTGACGGAGAGGTTGAAATAATTATGGAAATATTAAGCTTCCTCCATGAAGAGTACAGTACAGCTGAGTTAGATAACTTTATAGAAAATCATTTTTTTTCCTCTTTTTTTTTAACCCTCAAAAGCCTAATAGTCTCTTCTGCAACATGTTTCCAAATCCTGGGCTGTTATTTAACTCAAGAAGAACAAAGTCAGACCTGAGGCGGGATCATTTTTTTAAACCCGAAACATAACAAACCCGTGTTCTTGTCTCATTGAATTTTCCTGTAGTGGCAAATGAGAAAACACTTGGTTTCCCCTGAGTGTGCATTTACATTATTATTGAGACCTGGGCAGAGTTGGAAACTTGGGGACTGAACAGAACAAACAGTTGGTGCTGATGCAGCATTACTGAGAACAAAAGGGCAACAACGGAAGAGAATTCTGCTGGCAACAAGGAAATTCTTTGGGTCTTTTTTTTTTTAACTCTAACACACAAACGGGGGAGAAAGTGTTCAACCTCTTCCTACAGGCAGCTCTCTCTCTCATTCATTCACTGCAATCTTATGACATGGACGTCTAAAGGGTCATCTGATTCTTCGTGTCATAAGAGACAATGTCTCCAGGAGGTGGAAGACATCATTAAAAAAAACACACAAACAGTTGCTGGAAAGTAACAATTATCTGCACAAATCACATGAAGTCACACAATGTATTAAACCACACGTAGCTATGACGTGTCCTCGGGACGTGATGTTCCAGTGCATTACTGCCTTTATGTCACCAGTGCTCAGTACTGAGAAACCAGAACTAAACGGGTTCCACCCAAACTTCTGAGGTCATGTGGGTCAACTGGATAAGATCAAGTTATGGGGCAGGGGTGCATTATGGTCCGCCAACTGTGTGTGTTACACAACAAAGCCATTTCTACAGTGTGTCCTCTGTGTTGAAATTACAATCAGTTACAGTTACAGCACTAAATCATGTCGAACAAAATGACACTGGTTTTTCTGGATGTAATTGTCCAACTTCAAAATTACCATAAAACACCAAAGTGCAGCTCCTTTTAATTTGTCGATGAGGATTTCCTTCACAAATTAAATGAGTTTTCATTTACTTGTTTTGTATACAAAGCCGTACCTTTATTTTGAAATTTAGACACTAATGTACGGGATAAAAGTTAAAAAAAAACTTTTTAAAAATCTTATATAAAAATATATATTTTATTGAAAAAAATATTTATACCACAAGAACAGTTATTACAAATGTTGTGCAACGGTTGACATTATATTTGAAGGAGGGAAAAACTACTAATTAAAACACAACAGTACCCTTATATACATTATAGTTGCCATTTACTTTTGCAGCTGTTTTTGCCAACTGCTAACTGAATACTTCCACGGTGAGATTAGTGATAGCGGTGCTGGACACGTTGTCTTAGAAAAGATACTTCCGCTGCACAGCCCAACCATTTAAACAAGGTTCGGTTGACAAAAACAATGCAGTAGTGGTAAATAAAACAACACGGACAGTATACCGTTATAGTCTGCGGTGAGAGCCTACCTTTTCTGCCGTCCGCTGATGTGGACTGACGCTGAGCTCTGTCTGCACTGAACGGCTGATACTAACAAACACGGTTATTGCCACAACTGCTCCGCCTCCAAGTTCTTCGATACTCTTTTCTTTTCTTTTCTTTTTGCCCCGGGCAATAAAACAAAGTCAAAGTAAAAAAAAAAATAAAAAAAAAAAAAAAAAAAAAAAAAAAAAAAAAAAAATACCAACAATCACACAATGGCCGAGACTGGGGCTGACGGAAACGTGGTGCATTCAGCCAATCTACGCACCTGAAACCAATCAGTTTAAATGAGATCTCTTGTGCGCTCCGAGGCACGTGACTCACCAGAAGCGTTGCGGAAACCTCAATTATAAAACATTATAACACAATTTTAAAATGGGTATCAGTAAATACAAAATATACATACATATATACAAATATACATACATATTATAATAATTATTATCTGAAATATAAATTTAATATGGACCAGAAATGGCAAATGTTATTAAATAACCCGTTATTATGCAAAACAGCAGGACAAAAGTAAATCAATAGTTGACCAAATCTTTTTGTGCCATTAATGAGCCACAAATAAAGCAAACTATGTCCATTAGCTGGACAAAATCAACACTAACTATTAGCAGCCAATACATTAACAAAACAAAATACTAAATTAAGCATCAAAACCCTATTTAATTGTGTACAAAACAAGAGTGTTTTCATAAATCCATTCAGGTTTATGTATAATATCAAAGATTTCTTACCTTTGTAAGGTGTAAGGTTTCAAGACACCACTGGGATGTTGTTCAGCCGAGGGGCTGCAGTGTTGTGAAGGTGAAAACACCAAGTGATATATAGAGGAGAGCGAAGGTCTGCTCATTTGAATACAAAGGACTATTTATCACGGATCAAGTTTCCACACTTGTTGACAAAAACATTAATGTGTGAGTCAAACACTACCTGAGCTTGTTGACTTTAATGTGAGGAATGTTTTTTATCAACTATTTTGCTGATAAATATCACCGATTTCTCTTAGGTTATCTCTGAGATAGAATTCCACTGAACACTTTCACTGACAACCAAAAAGTCATACAAGCTCTTCCAGTCACAGCCAGGGTTTTTTTTTTTTAAATATAACTAGTTTTCCACACCAAACTGGTCACTAGTTCAGTTCAGTTGTTGGTTGTCCACAGTTAAAATAAAATATATATACCTGCTGTGTAGAAAACATTAATTTTCCCATTTTAACCATGTTTTATCCTTAAACTGTGTTATCCCCTTCTAACTAGCTGTTTGTTAGTGTTATACTTAATTGGCTTTTAACTTGTTTTATTATTTATTGTTTACCGCAGTTTGCATCTTACCATGCTTGGTAACACAACTTTTTAACTATATCTGGAACATTTTTTACTTTATATAATTTTAAATACATCACTTTTAGATAATAAGGACCAGCTTTGAGTGTTTTTTTGGTTATTATTATATATAAGTTATGAATTGGCTTATTTTCAATGCTCATGTTACCTTGAGATGCTTTCAGAAAAACAGCTAACCTCACATATAGAAAGGAGACTTGGTTTTACTCTCTTCTTGGATATCTTCATCTTCATATCCATATCTTCATACTGGGTTAGGGTTAGACAGAGCATCTTCTACATCTGTGGATGTTGCAATGGCGTTCGTTCCAGGAAATACCTGTCAAAATGTCCTTTCAAAACAAAGTTGACAGCTGTTGAACTCTTGTGACTGTAGATACCTTGGTGGTTGAAGAAGTATGGACTTTTGCTTACAGTTATTGAGACGATTTGCATACAGTGACAAGAATTTCAGTCCAGGACACTTTGATTTAATCAAGACATTCCTGGACTTTAAGGTCTCAGACTGCATGTCAGGGGTCACTGACCTTTTTGAAAGAGTGACTTCAAGGGCACTCAGTAATACGAAGAGTTTGCGGACACCACGTTGGTGACCCCTGCTGTATGTAGAATGTGAATACATTTTATTTTACTATTTCCATGTTTGTGTGAGGCCATATTTGACTGTTTCTATATTTTATAACACCCACCAATTTGTACTTATAATTACCACAACCCCTGTAAGGTCCCAATGGAAAAACCCCAAAAGAACCTAATTTCTGATCCTGAATTTATAATTATATAATTATAAAACAAATTCAGGGTAGTAATGTTCCAAAATTATATAAAAATTATATAAAAAATGTCCTTCAAAAGTCTTTATGCAGTGGATAAATAATTAATCACAGACAGCTTACTGAAAAAAAAAAACTTCAAAACTTCAAACTTCAAAATGATTTATTTTTTACATTGCTGTAAAAAGGAAAGGAAGATGCTTTTTAAGTTTCTCGAAAGCCAAAAATCATTACAATTACACTGTGGAATTTGGTCACATAAAACCTTTATTTGGACTTAAAGTAATATTTACAACGTATACAAAGTTCACTTTTGAAAACAAACAAGTGATTTAACCAAGCAAAGCAGCCACATGTAAAGAAAATCTGCCCTGCGTACATGGACAGTGATGATGTGGCTTCTAAACTGCCCTTTAACACATGAAATCAACAACAGTGGGGAAAACCTGAATTAATGCCACACCATCACCTATGTACTCACAACGAGTTCAGATGTAGTTACATTATGGCTCTTCACAACTGCAGTGTATTTCACACCATCTGACATCTTGAAAAATAACAAAAAAGCTAAAACTACAAAAGGTTGAGAACTAACATCAGTCCTGAGGACGAGGGCACATGAGGTGCAAAGGACTGTGGGAGGAGGGATAGAAAAAGAAGTACTAAGATTCATCTTCTGAGCCATGTTAACCTCTCCTCGTAAAACGAAATGACCACCTGAGGGCAGCGGACGTTGGCCTCACGGGATGGGACCAAATCTGCTTCATCAGAGTTTTTCCTGTGGAGCAAAAATGTGCATAAAGAACACGTGTGAGGGACAACCCACGACAGGACAAAGCATTAAAGCAAAAACAAAAAAATATATATGCATATTGTTCCATCTGTGCTCACCATTTCATTAAAAACATCAACTCCCCACTACTGTCTGTGGCGCCGATGATCCTTTCTGGATCTAGGTTTCTCGCAAATCCACGAGGTTTTTCAGCCTGCAGTTGAAGACAACATAACATGAACATGAACACAAAGAAAGAGCAGTGATCCATGACCAGCTTTATTTCTCAGGCGCACAAAGAGGACAGGCTGTGTCCTCTTCGTTTAACCCTTGACATACTGCTAGCCCAGGTGGCATGTTTTTGGTGCCTCCTGAACTCACCACCAACTAACATTGTGTCTAACCATCATCCATAACACATAACACAACACAGGAACTCACTTCTTTTTTCTTTGCCTCCGACTCTGGCTCATCTGCCGACAACTTCCTTTTTACGGTTGCAGGCTTCTCTTTTATATTCTTTTGTGCTTCCAGAAATGCAGAGATCAACTCAGGGCAGTCCAGGTTCTCCTCTGGCTCCCATGTGTTGTCAGCCCTACAAGAGCCACTTTGGTCACTTGGACATGTCGTGTAAATAATGACGTAATGTGTAACTTTATCACCAGCTATATAAAAATTAAGTATTGCATGCAACCAAAAACATGATTAAAAGCAAGTCACAACCCCATACCAGGGAAGTACTTCCAGATCAGGTGGGAGGGGGAGCAGAAGTCCCAGACAACTCACTCTGTGAATCCTTTCCACTTCAGGAAGAATTCAACTTTCCCATTGAAAATGCGCTGATCCAAAACCTTCTCAACAACAAACTCCTCTGGTTCCTGCTGTGTATCCTGTCCATCCTTCTTATTCTGTTTTTTACCCATGGTGTGATCTAAAACAAACACAATTCATGTATTAATACATCAAGACAGTCAGCACAAGTGAGCAGATGTGTTTATGAGTCAATTTAAAATGTAGTCATATGGAACCTATGTGCTTAAAATGTGCATAACCGGTTTTAAGGTTCTAATTTTCCTGGTTTGGTTAAAATAATTGCATTATATATAAGTAACTTTTAGTTTCAAAACACAGATTGACATTATATTACATTTTTTTAATAAACTGACTATGGTCATTTACTGTTCCCATCTAATTAAAGAAAAGTATAACTTCTAGCATGCATTCAGGCTAAAAAAAGTTGGGAAAGTGTTTTGTCCATGTCTCCAGTTAGTTAACTTGTTATTCAGATAATTAATAAAGGCTTGAGATTTTTATTGATATTAATAGGTGTGAAATATAAGGTGCCGGACTTATTTTTCAGAGACCTTCATTGCTTTACGGTTACATCCGGTTACATACTTCCGCTCTATTTCCGCAGAGTCCTGTTCCAAAAAACTAGGTAAAGTTAAGGCTGGCATTTAGCCACTATGCTAAATGTAGCTAAAATCATCCAAAGTCTAAATAATAAAGAAATAGAAATGCGTTTTTGACTTTATCCCCTTCCTCACTCCATAGCACAACATTCCAACCAGAGAAGTCATGCAAAAGTAAACAGGATAATTTTATGTGTGCAGAACTTAAAGCGCTATTCAAATATTTCGATGAATACAGGCCTCTGGGTAGTTTAGACACGTTTCTACAATAAGAAGCTTACAATGTTAAACCAAACACGGTGTATGACACAGTCGAGCACGTTAACACAATTAACAATTACAGCGGATAGAAGAATAAAGGTTCTCGAAGTAGAGTGTTGTTGAGTGGTCGATAAACTTACCCTTCGCAGTTTGCATGATTAGCACGCGCGCTAGCAAAGACAGAATGGCGTTAAACACGTTCAGATTAGCGATAGGTAACGCACCGCAAAGAATGACTGCTATCTCACGCAGAAATCAACTCAAATCTTCTACAGACGCCTCCTTACCCCTGTGTTAATCTCTTCGTTATATGTGCTTTGCAGCTCCAAAAGAGAAGCGCCAAAGTCCCACACTGTTATCAAGAGACTATGACGGAAGCCCAGAAGGGAAAGGCGACGCGTAGCACTTCTACGAAAATGTCAGTTCTGTCCAGTACAATATAATCGTAGTGTATGGCTATTGTTTTGCTAGTAAACTGTAATGATTTTAGATTTTTATTTTCGATTTTAGTAAAAGGTGATAAGTACTTGTTTGTTGAGGAAATATGCCACTACAATGATTTATTTGTTCATTATAAATATTATAAATAACACATTACTTAAAGGCAACCATTTAAGTCAATTTCAGTGTGTCATTAAATTATAATTTACCAATTTACAATGCAAATTTGCTCAGAATAATTTATTTAAAGCATCATTTGACTTTTGCATTTACTTTAAAAAATAATTTGTTTAATTTTAAATGTTTTAATGCAGGGGATTTCTGTGGTTACTGTCATTAAGGGACAAAGACAATGATTTTCTTTTTACTTTGTAGCTTCTTAATTTATTTGCCTATTTAAAATAGTTTTGAAGCTATCTTGTGGGTAATGAGGTGCACAAATGTTATTTATTTTGCTGCACTAAATATTGCAGTTGCAGTTCTAACTGCTGTAAATTAGACTTTTATTTTTTATCATGTATTGTGTCTATTGACTGAGATACAGTGTATGCAGGTCCACCAAGAAACAGCAGCAGGAAAAAACAGAATTCCGTTTACTTTTTCATTTATTTAATTTTTTAAACCACAAAACAACAACAGTGGCTGTAAAACATCAGAAATTTCTTGAGAAATAGTAAAAACAAAAAAGTAATCCATTCTTCAAACCTGGGACTTTAATACAAATTTGGTATTAGGTATTTAGGAGAATATTTATTAATTCACACTTCTGTCTACTTCATGCAGATCTTTCTTCACGGACTTCACTCACTGTGGTGACGGCAGTGGGGCTGTGGCAGCTCCTACCGACTACATCATCAGGTCAAAATTGTATTATATTTTGTAATTTGATTGTATTTTGTTTGTCAAACTAGGTTAGTTTAGGTCCATTTACTTTTGGACATTTTTTTAAAAGAATTACCAAGGAAATGGGTTCATTTCAATTAGCCTGATCTGAACTAAGGCTTGAGGTAGAAAATAACTTACAGATACATGGGTTTGAACCTAATGATACATTGTTGAATTTAAAATAATATGTCTGTCACTTAAAAACATAGCTGTGATGATGATTTGCCTTTATTATTTATGTAGAAACACACTAAACCAAACACAGCAAATGCAAATTAAGGCCATTGTCAATTCAACAAAAGGTCATCCAACTGAACCAAAACACCTGTTTTAACCTCTTAGGTCAATTCGTGCTCAACACTACTAGCTCATAACTTTAGTAAAAAACAGAAAACCAACAACAACAAAAAAAGGTCTAAGCTCAGAGCAAATTGCTTTAAGCTTTGGAAAAACAAAACATTTCCATTATGAGAAAAAGATACTGCCATTGACAGAATAGTTATGTATATAAGCGCTTCAGAATCTTAGAAATTTAATGTCAACATGCTTTATTATGAACTTAATATGCCAAGAGCCCAAGTTAAATGAAAACAAATAGAATCATGTTTTTAGATCTCTCTCTCTCTGTTCAATGTTGAGCATGTTGGATAACAACAGCTGAGTGGTGAATTATTATGTTTAGAAAAAGCCAAATGCATAATTCATCATTGGGTTGGGGTCTGAACATTATAAAGTTCACAAAAACTCATGAAATTCTAGAAACTAAATCAAAAAATGTCCTCTGTACAAAGCATTTGACCGCATCCACTGTCAGTGTTGATCTAGAAATCCTTTAGAGGATGTTGTAAGCACTTGGTAAAACATCAGACTCTGAAGTCATAGCACAGACAAACAGTTGTATTTTAAATTATTTGGTGGTCTAAGTAAGAAATAATTCCACAAATTAAAAACAAATACGTTTAAAAAAAAAAGGGGTTGATACATTTTATTGTCCTCCTGACAAGGACTAATATGAAAGTCTACTGAATGTTTGTGCAGAGAACAAGGTTTTTTCAGGGCTGACTTTTGGATGTCAATATGCTTGTTTGAGCTCCTGTCTGTACTCAAAGCAGTTAAATCAAATGTTATCTCTGAATTGTATGTTGATTGGCGCTGTGTACGACCTGCTCCACCGAATGACTTTGGAGATTGTTGGCATTGAGAGACTGACATTTTCAACAGCAGAATAGCTGTTCCCATAAATTGGCTTTTGTGACTTGACCATTTTTAACAAATGGAATACATCCAGTGTGTGAGCTACAGTTTCCCATGAGATATTTTATTTACAGAGTTTTTTTTTTTTGCAACATTTGCCCAGTAAGTGTCCCGAAAGCAGAGAGTTCAAACACCTTTATGAAAGGAGATCCCAAAATCAGTCTGGCAAATAAGTTCATCAACGTCCAAAAACCCTAGAAATTCAAGTCTACTTTGGTGACCAGAGTGTCACTGTTTTTTCTCCTTCTTCCTCTTGTCCGTTTTGTTGCCAGATGATGTTGAGACACTGGGTCGCCGCAAAGGCTGAACAACTACCCTACCATTAGCCCCGCACTGCAGGGTGACTCTTTCTGGGTTCAGGGGCTGCCCCGAATCATCCCTCATACGGGCAAGAATGTCTCTGGTCAGCTGCTTGATCTGATGACCCACAGCACACATCGTCTTGGCTGTGAGCTGCTTCTCCCGCATCATCTTGTTCCTCTGAGCTTGCAGCCTTTCCACTTCCTCCTGAAGTCCGGTGATAGCATCAAGTTTGCGCTTGCGGCAGTTCTGAGCTGCCAACTTGTTTTTACCGCGCCTGCGTATATCTCTGAGGAGTGTCACCTGTTCTGCAGAGAAGCCGTGACCATCCAGGATCTCGAGAAACTCCTCCACGGGCATGTTGACAATCTGCAGGACAGAGAACGGGATGTACATGGCTTGAGCACGCAGCTCATCTCGGCTCATCTGCTGCCCATGCAACCCTGACTCTTCGATGTCACTGAGGGCCTCCTCTTTAATACCTTTGTGCAGAAGTGTAACTGAAGGCTGGTTGAAAAAAGTATGTGACGAATAGCTGTGGTCGTGCCACATGCTTTCACTATGATCTAACGGTGACCACTCGGAGGTGTAGTCTGCAATGCCTTTTAAGGGGAGTGCATCTGCATCACTGCTGTAACCTGTTGCACCACCTTCATCTTCATAGTATGAGCTGGAAGATGACGACGACGACGACATGTCTGATACACCTTGGAGGGAACGTGCAAAGTGTTAATGTCTTCAAGTTTTATGTACTTTTGTTTTGTATTTTTTTCTTAGATATAGACTAACCTGGGGAGACTGGACCTCCAGAGCTGCTCTCCAGAGAGAGTCCTGAATCTGAGTCCAGGTCTTCAAGGACCTGTGGAGTAACATTCTCGAGGTGGTTTATCAACTGCATATCCATGTTATCCAGACCCTCTAAGCCTAGCTGATTGATCTGATCGAACACTGCTTCATCCAGACAGTCACTCAGTACATTATGAGGTGGTTCATCTCCTGGTAAATTACACACTGAAGCAAAGGGGAGAGCAGCCAGGCCCAGGGCCATCCCTGGTGAAACATCTGAGTGAGAGGAGCTGCAGGACTCCAGACTAAGGAGGTTCCTTTCTTGGGTGTTATGTCTGGCCCCACCTTGTCCTGAGGTCACACCAAATGATCCAGCAGTGGTTAGCATGGCATCATGCAAACTGACATCCTGGCTGATGGCAGTGGTGATATCATTGTCCTCAACAAGAGAATCCAAACCCTGCACAAAAGAAAGAATGTAGATTATTTTTTTGCCCACAAAGTGACACTACCACCGTGTTGTCAAATGTTCATGCCTCAGAGAGGCATTAGTTATCAAAAATGTTATTACAAACATTAGGCCTTTGCCCTTGAGATAAACAGGAACACCAAACTTACATCAAGGTCAGTGACTGAAAGAGAAAGCAAGTTGTTCCAGTGCTGATCAAAATCAAAGGTAGGAGGATGGTGGCTTTCGCTGTCCGACAGTGAAGTGACACCTCCCAGCAGACTCTGAAATAAATAACATTCACACACACAAGAACGGTAGATTTAGGTGACAAAATATTGGTTTTACAGAATCTTAAAAAATATACACTGGCAAGCATGGCATATGTAATTTTTTGGCAGATTTGGTTTATGCTTTCTTTTTCTTTAAAGTGGGCCATCTCTGATGACGGGTCCTGTGGCAAGGTCATGTTGCAAAAATCAAACGCTGTAAGGTGAGCATTAAAAATTTTGATCCATGTAATGATTTTATTGAATGATGTTTTTTTTTTTATCCCAGAGTAGATGTAGTAACAGTAATTACAATGCAAAAAATAGTTACACTGAAAGCAACTGGACAAAGTAGGGTTTTTTTTAAGACGTTTCACCTCTTATCCAAGTGGCTTCTTCAGTTCTGACTGACTATATTTGCCCTGGGAGTAGAAACATGCAGTGAAGTCATGTGATATTGAACTTTCTCAAATACCATTTAAGACTTAAGCATGACACACTTCCAACAGTCTGTATGGGTACTTTTCCTTCAACACATGGTAGTTAAGTGGTGTACATTAATGGAAAGTGTCTTCTAAAAGCAGCAATAGGATTTTTACCTCTTGTTCCAGTGTGGAACTGTGAGCTAGCTGGGTAACTGGAGCAGGCTCTTCCTCCTCTTTGATTTGAACATCGTTTTCCTGGAAGCAACAGAAAAAGGATTGAATTAGGCCATAGCAGAATGAAAGGATCCAGTTCAGTCAGACAAACTAAAACATTGGAGGTCATTGTAACCCTAATTCAGTACCAAAAATAATAATTAATAGAATTTAGAAAAGTTTTAATTACAGAATGTTGCATTAAAACAGTAAAGCTAATTATATTCTATTATATAATGATTCTAAATCTGGTGATATATTTCTGATACAACAAAAAGAAAACCGAAAATGCGAAAAAAAGACTCATTCTTGTTTATTGTAAATGCTTGTGGCAAAAACACCATATTGGAACATTTTGTCCAGACCCTGTCTGAGCTTGTTCATCTCTTACTGTAGCCGCTTGTCCGCTCTAAATGGAGAGAATTATTGATTTTTTACACTGTCAAACAACTGCAGCCTTTCTATTGTGAAATCAAATCCCACAATATATCCTTTAGACGATGAAAGTTCTTTTTTTTTTTTTTTTACAAACGAAAGGTCATAGAACCAAAGTTGTAAAGTTTGTCAACATTGCAATATCGGTGTGAATAAGAACTGTATGTGGAGGCAGCATGCAAGTGTGGACCGGTGCTTTTGTGTAAAGAAATAGGGTGTGGACCTTTCTTCTCCACCTCTCCAGACTCACAGCTGGCAGTTGAGAAAGGAGATACAGTTGCACAATTGACTAGAACAACTGCCACCAAGCAGCTGTTTGTACCCCTAAGGCAGAAAAACTGGATTACTGGGGAAATTGAATCCAAAGCTCTGGTGCATCTGAAGAGCTGCTGGTGACTCCTCAGATGTTACTTAAAATGAATGTTAAACCTCTCATATTATTAAAGAGGGAGCTGACACAGTGTTTGTGAAAACTTTTGTGAAAAAAGAAAAGTGATTTAACTGTAAGATGTGGATAGATGCTCAATTTCTATCTATTTTTAAATGTAGTATATTTAAGTTTATTTCGAATTGTTTTAAATGTTACATTCTCCAGAAGTGTGGCACTAACTTCTTAGTTTTATGTACTGAGGACAGCAACAAAAGAAGTAAACAGGAGCATGATCACAGGCTAAAGCAAAGATGTTTTCCAATTAAAGGCATACTTCAGAGGTTATGATTCATTTTGTGGTAGAACACCACTATTAGCCTCTGTTGAAGTGAGAATAAACTAATAAAATCACCTTTAAAATATTTTCATTCATGCCCATAAAAGGGAACATTATGTAATCTGACCTAAATCTGGACCTATAAGAGAGTTCCACTAAGGTCTTTGTGTGACAGAATCCATGGTGATGTGGGACAGGTGCAGAAGACAGCTGTGACACCTACCATACAAACAAATACTAATGTGAAAGTGAATGTATTTCATGTGTTATCTCACTAACCTTGGTGCACAAGGAAATTTGGCAGCCTATGTTTCTTGTTGTACACAGGCATATCATTGTGTAACATGGGCTTGTTAGCTAGTGATAACATTAGCTCACGAGTTCTATGAGGGAGTTATATATCTTGATTTCCCCCCAGCACAGACAGCATTTTCTTCATTTAGCATATCGTTTCATGTCAAAGCCAACTTCATGTTTAATTCCACAAACACAAACTTGCCTCTTTAGGAAAGGCACATGCTCCAGTGCTACAAGGCCCATGTTCTGCTTCGGGGGTTGCTTGGTCAGCATCAGGCAGGTGCTCACGGTCATCCTCTGAGCCTTGCAACGCTGGACCATTGCCGATGTTGCTGCTGCTGCTGCTACTGTTGGATGACGGTCCACTGCCAGTCTTGTCAGTAGGAGACACTTGGTGGACCAGCCATGCGTTCAGGCTTGTGTGGAATCGTGGTGAGCCGAGGGTTCTTACTTCCTCTAACAACCGTCGGCTTGCAAAGAAATGATCTAACTCCGGACATTTGGGATGCACACTGTATCCATCGAGAGTTTCTCTTAAATTATGAAATGGAGTCTGAGTGTAAGCTGAGCTTGGACCTAAATTAATCTCAATTAAGGGCGAATAGTAGCCGCTCAAGTAGCTGTCCAGATCCACGCGAACTCCTATCAAACTCAGCAAGATCGTCAACTGAATCAGGCCTTCTTTCAAATATTTTTTCGCTTTTAGCATTTTTCAAAAATGATTTTAGAATAACGGATAATTGCAAAATACTGACCCTACAGTTCCCTTTCCCAGCCGGACAAAGGGAAAAGCCTAACAAAAGAGCACGCCTTCCCCTGTCAGACAAAGAGAGGAACCGGCGAAATGCTCAGACTAGCTATTAGCACTTAGCTTTAATCAGCCGTTAGCGGAAACCTCTCAGTTCAAACATAGCAAATGCCTATTAATTTACTGCCTTATGACTACGAAATAATTATCTCTGCGTGGTTGCAATAAAAAACTGCCCGTTTTTTAAATAAAAAAGAATTTAAAGTGAAACCGAAAAACTAAATTGCTGTCACCTACTTTACTGCTACTGGGAGAAACTTCGTTTCAGATTTGCATAGCTCATACAGATTGGACCATAACGTTCACCGCATTGTAATGTGATTGGACAAAGAGTCTGTCAGAGAAAAGAATGACAAATGAACGCGAAGCAAGGCTGTTACGTGAACGAATCTCCGCCCTATTTACGCCACATAACATAATTCCAGTAAATAAATCCAGAAAATGACTTTATATCTGCTACAATGCGCATTAAACGGTATAAAATACACATTAGGGACCGTCTTTTCTTTAGGGAGTGTTGAGTTTTTAATATGGTTTCATGTAATACATAGCTGTGATCTTAGCAATGTGCTATTGACCTGCATTTGTCTCTAGTCTTAGCAAACATGAATATCTGAGAATGAACACCTAGTGGTAAGTTTACGAAGTGCAGGTTGTACTTGTTAAACCTGTAAATTACGAACTTTCTTTCTTTCCAGAATTGTTCAGAAATCCTTCTAAAAGAAACACAGACGGTAAAATAACTATTAATGTACTTTACTCAATTTTATTTAAGAATAAATTAGAACTAAACATCAACTTTAAGCTTGCTAAAATGACTTATCTCTGGTGTTTTGTAGTTTTTTATGTTGATTCTTTCATATGGCTAAATAATTAAGAACAGGTATTGCTAGGAGATGTAGTATTGCAACATCTGATATCAATGGGGAATATAGGTCTTGAAGAATCGACCTGAAAATAACTAACTAACTAACTAACTAACTAACTAACACTAAAACTTTGGCTAAGTATAAATGTTTTTATTTTGAGGTTTAGGTGCCTAGGGATTATAAAGAAACAATATATCAACAACACACTTTCAAAAGGTCATCTTATCTTTGACCTTGAGGCAACCTGTTGGAGTATCGATTGATTTCTTTAATGTCCATTCATTAAACCTAAAATTGTGTTTTAGAAATGAATCTCTAATCACTTTATACATTTGCTGAGAACAACCAAATATAATTCAATATCTCGGGTTTTTTTTATAAAGTCTTAACAACGAACTATTGAATGACAGTCACAGGGATTATTTTATGTCATGCATGTGTTTGCTTGGCCAGACTTCTACTGATATCGACCTATTCAAGGTCTACAAGTTTACTTAGGTGTTCCTTACAGCCTTGAGATGTGGAAAAAGACCAGACTTGACTGCAAGACTAAGAGGTGAAAAGAACATTAAACAAAAACTCTTCATGTCTTTTTTAAAAACACCCTTTTATTATAAAAGTAAAAAAACGTGTTCTTATTAGAAACAACACACTGTAAAAGTGACCAGCAAAAGTTTTGCAAGTTAAAAAACTGTCAGCAAAATTGCTGAATAAAACATTGAATAAAACCTTTAAGTCTAAATTATAGCAATCAATAGCAAAGTATTTGTAGTGCCTACGTCGCTCAACTGCGACCCCTGTTGTTAAATTTGGATAACAACAATATTGAGCGTTATCCAACAGTTTTCACACTGCTGATACAAACACACTTTGCCTACAGAAACACTTGCCTTAATTTTGGTAGTTAATCTAGAATGGACAAAAAACATAAAATAACCCCTTTTAGCCTATGTGTGGATCTCATATTTTACTTTTTTGCCTTACATCAACTCTGTATGTTAATTCTTTTTCTGTGTTGCCAAGGAAGCTCGAGCCAATTTCAACATTCAGCAGATTCCGTAACCGGTTTACCTTCCTATCACAAGCACAGATAAACAACAATTTAACATAAGTAAGGATGCAACAGCATGTTAACCACCTCCAAGATGGTCATGAAGGTCTGAACAGCCTGGACCTCTATAAAGTTTTGAGAATTGTTTGATAAGTATATGTAATATTTAACACTGAAAAAGATTGAGTAACTTATATATCAAAAACACAAATCATAGTAAACTAGTCCAAAATCTGGATATTATAAAATTAAACCCAAGTCATAATAATAATAAAAATAACTTGATGGCAAGAAACATGGAAAAAGTTGTTAAAACTTCACTTGAGAAAAGCAAGGGAAGACAAATTGATTAGTTGGCTGAACAATTACTAAACTATTGGCTAATGTCAGAGCAGCTTAACCAGGTTAATAGACAAGAGCGTCAGCCAAGTGCACAATTCAGAACAGTGGTTGACCTCTTCCAGATTGACTTTTCTTTAGTTCAGTCTTAACAGTGGGGTCTTATAATAGCCCTACTTTAAAAAAAAGTTTGGAAAATGTTGATATAATAAACAAGACAATGCAATATTTCACCCTGCAATTGAAATTAAAGCTCCATTTCATGACCAGTTTGGATTGTAGTGTAAAAGTGTCAACGACAGTCCTTCTAAACCTTATGTTGAGAAATCATTCTTCATCATGTTTGTGCCCTTGGCGAGGGTACATCCTCCTAGGTCTATGACCTTCACTCCATTAGAGCAGACCAAAGACAGAACCCCACTCCTGCAACCGAACGACTCATCTGACTGCACCACATCTTATCCAGAGAAACACAAACACTGCCATCAACACCACTAAAAGCAGCCACATCCACACACGATAATCATCTTTAAAAATAAAACCTCCCCGTTACAACTGTTGACTGTGTTTGAGGGTCACAACATTGACGACTAACAGTCCTGCGGTCGCTCCGCCCCATCCTTTGCTTTGCTTCCACTTGCTGGATGAAATGAAAATTAAAAATAATTTAAAAAATATCGCGTTATCAAAGCTGTGACAAAGAACCGTAATCTGTTCCAATTGATGTGACGCCAACGCATTTTGTCACTTGATTAATCCACAAGTATTTTCATAACGACGTGAAACACGTTTAAATCAACTCTGTGAAGTTGTGACAGATTTATTGAGGGGAGAGCTCTTAAATCACAGCCACATTCTCCTCTTACGACGACGCTGATTGGTCAATTTGCAGTCGAATACTACGCATGCGTATACCGCGCATGGGATTATGGGATATCAGAAGAGAACTCGAGGTAACTTGACTGATTGTTAGTTTTCTCTTCCTTTTACAAACAAATAATGCGTTTTTAAATTGAGTTTAAATCAAATTGTTGTACCTTGAAATTAAGTTAAATTAAGTCAAAATTATTGAGTAAAAGTCCGTTTCTTGGAAGGTTTTAAAAAATAAGTATAATGTTTATATTAACAGTGAACATAAATGTTGTCCTAAACATGTATTGGTATGTTTTTAATGAACCGTTTTTAAGTAAATGTTTTGTTTTAAATTATTATAAATAATTTTAAATATTTCATTTTTTAAATTGATTTAGGAATTACATACAATAAAATAGTTGAGCAGTGTCAATCAATATTAATAAAATCTTTCCAACAGAATAGTATCATTAATGTGAATAAAACCATTGTTAAATTTAAAGTATATATTTAACCTATAATACATTTTACAAACACAGTTTTACATTTTGTGTTTAAATGCAAACAGAAAAAAATATTGAAAATCTAATACCAGTTATTTTCATTTTTTAATTATAGCACAGACTTATTTATATATTGCTATATTTATTTTCTATTTCCATTCAAAACATATCTGATTTAAATAATTAAAAAAGCATTTAATTAACTATTTTTAAAATATATTACAACTGTGTTAATTGCTTTTCCTTAAGACTTTAGTTTATTCTTTGGTATTAGGTAGTTAGGTAGTTATTTAGTTAATTTTTTAATTGTAAATTTTAGCTGTATTTTTTTGGTTTGTTGCACTGGTGATAAGTTGACAGATTACTTTTTTGTTTTATAAAAAAATGTTATACATTTCATAAATAAATGGACATTAAATTACACATAAATTATTTTGGTATAAAACGTTTATTGTGTGATAATCAGGGTTTATTTAATGGAGAGTTTATAGATATGTATGTGTATGTGTATATATGTGTATGTGACCTGTTTGTGTGTGTGCGTGCGTGTGTGTGTGTGTGTGAGATACACATAGTACACAGTCGGCAGCATTAGTAGCAGCGGAGCTCTGTCCTCCAGAGAGCAAAACAACAGACTGGCGACTTTCTGCCTCCTGTAGCCAGAATTGCTTGATTGACAGCGGTGTTGAACCAATTACAGGCAGGAACCTCATTTCTGCGTACCCATTGGCTGAAAGCTACAGTTTATGAAACCGCCCTTGACCAATCGCTGACACTCAAACCTCGACTAAAAAGAAGAATTACGACCTAAGCTCTGGCAGACTCCGTGGCGCCCCGCAGTGGAGGCATCTGGAACTAATTTTTACTTCAGACTTGTTCTCAGAGAATTGAGTTGTAATGAAACAATACAGCACTCTTTAGTGGTTTCAGTTTTATCCACTTTTTCTGTACAAATTTTGTTTCAAGTTCCAATAGACTCTCTATTTTGTATCCCACTGGTGTGCGGGACACATACTGCTTTATGTTTAATGTTTTCTTTAACAGTATCAAAGATTGATGTTTTTATTACCCACCTCGTCATGTAAAATGATCTGCATCGACGTTTATTTTTCTGTGTCTGGTTGAAATGTCTTTTTTTTTTTTTTGCTACTAGTATTAGTTGCAGTATTTGCTATTATTAGTAGTTAAATCAGCTTTGGCCACAAGACGGCGTTGTTGTCTAAATTATATGACTTAAAAACTATTCTCATGGCTCCCATTCAGTACTCAATTGAATTGGAGGATTCCTCATTGAAATATTTCATCACCACAGTGTTTGCATAGAGACATAAACATGATCAGTGCCATCTGACTCTTTAAGTTTAAGTTTATAAATACCAAAGTCCTATTAAACAAGCAACACATTTTACAATTGTTCTTGAGCCTCACTATCTTCCCGCTCTATTTCGTGTCTTTCACCATCTCTTTAAATCCAAAGACTAAGGAAGGCCCTCAGTGGGATAGTAAGAGTCAGAAAGAGAGCGAGGCGTTGACAGATTTTATTTTTTTTCAGCATGAGAAGCAGTCATGGATTTGATGTCAGAGTCTGAGATGGCTGCCTTGATAAAGTTGGTCTGGCTTGCTGAGATTGGCAGCCTTCTTCTTGGAAAAGAAAACAGAAAGACCCTA